GCACACAGCAAGAGTGGCTTATAGACAACTCTGTGAATGTCCTTGAGTGGCCCAGCCAGAGCATGAGCTTGAACCCAGTCAAATATTTCTGGAGAAACCTGAAAATGTGCGTCTGCCCCCATCCAACCTGACAGAGCTTGAGAGGAGAAGAGGTGAGGAGAAGAATGGTGGATAATTGCCAAATGCTGATAAGCAAAGCTTGTCGCATTAAACAAAAAAGACTTGAGACTGTTAAGGTGCTTCAGCTAAATATTTAGTTAAGGGTATGAATACTTATGCAATGTACTTATTTCATTTTTTTTTTTTTTAATACATTTACGAAGTTGTGACAATTCTGTTTTTGCTTTTTCAGTATGGTTTATGGAGATTTCATTTTTTTTATTTTTAATACATTTACGAAGTTGTGACAATTCTGTTTTTGCTTTGTCAGTATGGTGTATGGAGTGTAGATTGATGTGGGAAAAAAGTAATTTAAAGCAGCTTAACATAAGGCAGCAACATAACAAAACGTGAAAAAAATGAAGGGGTATGAATACTTTCGCAAGGCACTGTATATATATTATCAAACCAAAAATTTTACAGACACCAGATACATTTTTTTGTTTTTTGTTTTTACTAGTGGGTGCAGGACACTAAGTTCATTTTTCATTGATGTAAGTGAGGATAGCAAAATAAAGTGAACTGTGACATACCCCAAAAAATCTTCCTACAGTGGACTACCAGTAAAACTGATAAAAATTTGGGACCAAAAATTTTTCAGACAATTTGACTTGACCATGTTTTGCTTAAGTGTTTTTTTTTTCCTTTAATTGCTAATGCGACCTTTTTGCACCACAAACTGAACAAAATTAAACATTGCTTGGTAATTGGTTGACCTAAATTGGTATTATCTAATTGTGTACTTAAATTTAACAGCTGAATAATTTTTGGTTGATTGTAATCCATTACATACCTTTCTATCAAAGTAATCTGACATTATCAAGATGAATTTGTTCTGACACAGTTTAACTCTGTGTTCTTGTCATATTTTATTACGGTTATTGTTTCATTTGTCAATGGAAGAATTTTATCAGTTCAGGCAGTTGAGGGATGTAGGGTGAGAAGTTTAATAGCTGTAAGAGTATTGCTTTTAGCTTCTATAAATTTTTATACGTTTTATATTTTATTTTATAAAATGTATTACAAAATTACAACAACATTTGTACATTACTTTTTACATGTTTACTGCTTTTTTTTATTAAATAGCCTATAATTGGCTGTTTAATGACAGCATGGCTCTTTGGGAGTTCAATTAGTTTTGGGGGCTTTTGTTTTTCTTCTTCTTATGGGGAAAGATGTAAATGTCAGTAAAAAAAAAGACACTGTATTTTTGACAAAAAATAAATCCAACTTAAGACATTTTTGCTGTACTGGTCTCCCTCCATCCTCTATTTAAAATTAAACCTGCAGACTTGACATTAGAAATGAAAAAGTTCATACTATGTATTTGTCATATTTTCTCCAATTCACGTAACATTTGTAGTGGTGTGATAAAATATCTTCCCATTTTCACAGGACAGGTTAATGCTGTGCAAATCGTTTTAACAACCACTTTCAGTTGCCATTTTGCTTTGCCATGTGGCTACAGTTGCCTTTAACAGCTCTAGTATTGTGTTTTTCTGGATGTTATTGTTTTATTTTTCAGTGTTGCCTGTAGGGTTCAGAGTGCTGGGTAATCTGCAGCTGTGTGTGAATAGTAGACTTGGGGGTAAGAGCTCCAGCATGTACCAGCTGCCAGATGGCTCCATCAGCAGACACATACACACACACCGTAAAAGACCATGGAAAGCCTCTCCAAACCCGTACCACTGAGTAATCATACACACAGTCATTTCTATCCTCACCACAAGGCCAGCACACACAGAGCTGCAGGTGTGAAAACTGTTCTGGGTCCTCTCACAATCTGTGTTAGTTGTTTAAAGATTATTTGCCCACAAGACAGATGAAAAAAATTATTACGTAAAATCATGGAGGGTGGATATGTTAAACAAATAGTAAAATGATAATTCCGACATTTACTCTTATGTCATTCCAAACCTGTATGACGTTTTTTTTCTTCTTTTTCTGTGGAACACAAAATAACAATTTTGAAGAATGTTCAAGCAGCTCTTTTCCATAAAGACCACAGGCTGTCAAACTCCAAAAAGGGCAAAAGATATTTAAAAAGCACCATTAAAATAATCTGTGCCATTGTCCTATAGTTTGTTTTTAACCTTTTTTGGAGTTTGACATTCACTAAGAATTGTGGTTGTACATAAAATGTGAAGAATGTTTCTTTGTGTGCTTAACAGAAAAAAAAAAAAAACAGGTTTGAAACAGTATGAGGGCATTTTTAATGACAATTTTTTTTTATTGTTGTTTAAAAATGCTAATGCTCTTATTCACCCACTCAAATGAGGGAATCATGCCATGATTGTTCAGTAACTCTTTTCGGGTCTTTGCTTCCTGTAGTTAACAGATTGCACTCACTCCATCCTCGTCGAAGTTGCCGTGGTGCTCTGTAGTCTCCAGAAGGAGCAGACGAGCCGAATAAGAGCACATATGGCTGGAAACAAAGCTCCCCGCAGCAGCCTCGATTCACAGCAAGATGTTGCGAGATACCTGGGAGTGCATCTGACCTTTGTTAATTCACGTTAACAGAAGAAACGCTTGAGGAGATGCACCGGGAGGTGTACTTGTTTTAATACGTCGGAACAATGATAGCATCTGCCTTGTGGGCTTTGTGTTGTTTACCCACAACCCAGTTAGTCTGTGATCTTGAGTTTTAATTTCCACAGCAAAGAGGAAACAGGAGATCACACGTTCACGTTAAGGCAAATTTGTTTTTATTTTATTTCTTTTCTTTTGGTTCTCTCTCTTTTTTTTTTGAAAAAAATCTAGTCTACTATAAGACAATTGGGAAAAAAAGGAAAGCCCAGAGAAAAGGCAAGATTAAATTATAGCAAGAGCACTGGCATACCTTTACCCAAAAACAACAGAGTGTTAAAGCCTGTGGTCAACATATATTTCAAACAAGACCAGGTCTGAAAATTACATGGTGGCCAGAAGGACATTTTTCTTCTATTATGATGAGGTCACTGATTGTCTTATTGACATAATATTGCATAATACAAGGTGTAGCCATGATTGTCGGAGCAGCACCAGAGTTCTGGTGTTAGTCAAACAGAATTAGAGGCAGAAGCCTGCTGCCCATGATCAGCGTCTGGTCGTCTTCTGAGAATCCAGTCCACATTTACCCTCAACAACTTCAGTCACTTCTTCCAATTTAGCACAAATTTAGTTTCGTTTCAACATGTCTCCAGCATCCACTCTGTTTACTTGTGGAGATGCCGCTATTAAGAGACTGTGCTCTAGATTCATTGGATATAAATCAATAGAAGGCGAGGAAGGAACGGAGGCCATGGACAGCTGACTACATCAACTACAAATAAATACATTTTTAAAATCTACCTAAATGTCACAGACCACACCAGCTGTGATCTGAAAAACAGTCGTGTAAGGCATCAGTCGAACGATATGTGGTCGATACTGGGTAAAAGTATGACAGCGTAAAGGCAGAAACCAAAGGACATAGCATTTATAGCACGTACGCTCTGTAAAAATGGCTTTAAACACATCACAGTGAATAAGAACAGCATGATAGCTCAATCTCATAAAGCTACATTCAGATCCCCTTATATTGAAAAATAGATAAAATATGAAAGGTGTGCGGATTACATGGAATGCTTTAAATTGGAAAAATACAGCAATACACACACATACTGGAGTCTTATGGGTAAAACAGCCCTACATACTGCATACTTTCCCTCATTTTTGCATTTGTTTAAAAAAGACTTTTTATACAGAATTTAGAAATTCAGAAAATAAATAAATTTGTGGCCATAAATTGAATCTTAGTTGTATATTATATATTTATATATACTGCGTTCCATTTCATATGAACAAGATTATAATGGGGAAATACTTTGCAGATGATTTTGGAATTTGTCACTATGTTCTCTAGTCTGTTACTATATACAAACAAAGTCTACTAGAACTGTCTCTTTGGACAGGCAATGCCCATTTCCATAAAAGCGCAGTGCTTTTAAATTTGTGTGTGATGAAAAATAATAACCTCTTCAGTTCTGATGGTATGAGGGGGATGAGATAATGTCATAATTCTGTTTTAAAAACAGAGTGAATCATACAATCTTCCCCTTCAAAACATCACTTCCAAAACAAAGCATTAACCACCTAGGCACTCTTTCAGTCTTATTCCAATAGGCATCCTTTTGAAGTTCACTAAGATAGCTACATAGGAAAAAACTAAACAAATGTTTCTCCATATTGTATGTCCTAAGCAACTGAGTGTGTGTGTGTGTGTTTAATCCTAAAGTCAATGGTGTGTTGTTGGTTTCTTTTTGGCTTCCCACCAACTCCTCCTTTGGTCCCTCAGCTGGATAAAGTCTTTGGATTTGTCTATGGAGATGATAAGAGATAGAAACATCTCAACTGGCACATATGGTGGGAATATCCCTGGTTGGAGAATGGCTGCTATCCTTATGGGAGTTTGGGAGTGACGCAGAGCAAACCAAAGAGCTTTCATCATGACATCATGGTCGGTATCCCTCAGAGTTCGAATTTAGGCACAATATCACAATAACTTTGAGTAAACAACAGTCTTGGGGGTCAACGGCCATTCTAAACAATCAAGAGCAATAAATTACAGATAATCTGCTCCACTGAAAAAATCCTGTATTTTTTTTTTTTCACATGTTGGTCGATTGTGTCCACATTCCCCTGCTTTGGCCACTAGTTTAGGTCTCAGCCGGTTCCGCCTTGACCTGGATGAAGTGGGATGCGGGTATCTGCATGGTGCCCGGCAATTCCTGCAGACCTTGAGAGCCTTCCAACAGCTCTTTAGCTTCAGGCTGTGGATGCAGAGCCACTTCTCCTCTCACTTCTAGCTCCTCCACAGGGGTCAGGCCCTCACTAGGGCTGCTGGCCAGCTGCGAGCCCACGTCCGAATGTCCGTTGAGGGTCTGACCCAGCTCCTGACCTGCATTGTTGATGATCACAGTTCTGTAGCTCAGCTCTGCCACTCCTTCCTCGAGGTCATCATTGCCGTACGAGGCCATGCTAGGGTTGCTGTTGACCAGAGACTGGAGGTACTGCGGGTCTAGGATCTCCTCCTTCACCTGCAGGCCTTGAAGTTCACTGGGCTTCAGGACAGTGGCGATGACCGTTCCGGGCTGCTGGGCCACGACGGGCTGCCCGTTGGCATTGAGGGTGACCAGGCGGGTGATGCCATTAAGAGATCCGGCTTGCTGTGGCGTGGTGCTGATGACCCCTCCACTGGATGAGCCCAGAGTGGACACGAGGAGCTGCTGGGTCTGGATGCTGTCTGTGGTCAGAGAGGCGGTCTGGATGGTGAGCACATCTTTACTGCCAGGGCTGGTGGAAGGCACAGTGTGGAGAATGACCCGAGGCGGCGAGGCACGAGAGAAGGAATTCCCATTGGTCAGAACAGAGGACAGCGGCAGGGTCTGCAGGGTGACTGGACCTCCTCCTTGAGCTCCTGACGTGAGGACCATGGGAAGAGAGCCTGGCATATGTATAGTCCTGAGAGAGATAGAGGGGCATGGGGTTATAAGCAAGAACACTTTAGTTCCAGTATAAGGAGAAGAAAAAATGATATGGCAGCCAGCTGTCTTTCTGATAAACTGTGGAACACACAAAATACACCTTTTTTAAGTTGAAGAAGCTAACCTTATGATACTATTGTTGTTAGGTTTTATTTCTGATTTAAAATATATTACAGAGATTACAGACAAACAAAATTGATATCGTGGCCACAAATTAGGAACACGTTCCGACAGAATATTAATTTGTGGCTATGTTGTACTAATTTTGTTCTCGTTTTAGCAAAATTGTGGCCACATTGCACTAATTCATTTCCTTGTTTTAATTTAATTAAATTGTGGCCATGTTGTACTAATTTGTTTCCTTGTTTTAGTTAAATTGTGGCCAAATTGTACTACTTTTGCTCCCTTGTTTTAATTCAGTTAAATCATGGCCACTTTATACAACTACAATTCCTTTTTTTAGATAAATCGTGGACGAGTTATACTAATTTGTTCCCCTGTTTTAATTTTGTTAAATCGTGGTCACATTATACCATAATTTAACTAAAACAAGGAGACAAATTCTTAATTTGAGGCCACAATATTTTTCCCCATGCCATTTACAGGGCTCTGTAATTTGTGTTACTGCCTAAGAAAAGTGTTACAAATGGCTCACTTATAAGGTCCATTTTGGTTATGATGCAGCTGCCTAAGAATGTAGCTACCTATGTAGGCAGCAAAGACAACCGATTTTGGAAAATAGCTTGTGTTTCAACAGTGGTTTTAAATTTGCTTGTGTGTGTGTGTGTGTGTGTGTGTGTGTGTGGCTGTCTGTGTACGTAAAACGCCCCTCACCTTACAGAGTGTGTAGATGCTGGGACAGCAGCACCTTGATTTGGCTGAAGAACATGGATGGTCTGCACCAGCTGTTCTGCTTGTTTTCCATTGCTGTTCAGCCCGGGACTCATCTCTCTCTTCACTGACTTCACCTGTGTGCTCTTCCCCTGCGCACGTGATGAACCGCGGCCCACTGCCCGTCCGTGAGGAGCGGACCGTTGCCCTCCGTAGCCAGAACTGGCGTCGTCCCCTTGGCTATCATCCTCATCAATAATGACCAGATCTGAGGGCATCTCCTTAAACTGGTAAACAAGCCTCTGTCCTTCAACCTTGGCCAGTATACCCCTCTGGTAATAGTACCTAAAAGAGAGCGAGAGGAAGGGGGAGGTCAGGAAAAGCAATTCCTCTGGCATGATTGGTCCCTCTGGGTGAAGTGTTTGTAACCTTTGGCTCACCTGAGCGCTCTGCCCATGGTTTCGTAGTTCATATCAGGCTTGTTTTTGTGCTTGCCCCACAGCTTGGAGACAGCCTTGGAGTCCACCAGTTTAAAAATGCCCTTCTCTCTCTGCGTCCATTTGATGTATTTGGGACAGGTGTTTTTGTCTTGCAGCAAGGCCAGGAGGAACTCCCACAGGTAGATAGTATTACCTACAAAAATAAGGGGCTTTTATATTCCTTTGTCGACTCATTAAAAGTTTAGCTTAAGTTTATAAAAAGCTTAAACACCTTTCATATTTCACACGTGATTCCACAGGTCTTATTTAACAAGCCAAATTGGCAGAGGTGCAATTATTGTATTCTTTCTCATAACCTTAATAAATCAATTCTCCCTTCATGGTAGCCCTACACCGGACTGGAAATTAATTAGAGGGGCCTGGCACTAGATTATTCTTGTTTGTCGTGCGCTTTGGCCAGAAGTGGTTAAAAACAGCTACCCCGGCAATGTGAGCTGGAGAGAGAACAGACCGGCGTGTCAAGGTGATGTATATGTATGCGGCCGGCCTCCACTCTGAGCTGGGAACGGGACTCATGCATAAGGGGCCTCTATCAGGACAGCATCGATGTGCCCTCCAGCCCGCTATCACTTTTAGTTCCCTCACAAACGCAGCACTTTGAGAGCACCTCATCAATTAAGCAGCCGCAGCACTGCCAGCAAAGCCCCGGTAAGAGCAACTCATGATGCATGCGGGGGAGACAGAAGCGATAGTTTCCAACTTTTTCTCCTTTACTACCGTGCACCGATCCGAGGTCGTGCTTACCTTTGCCCTCTTTGCTCTTCTTCTTCAACGGGAGAGTTGGATTGGTGATGGGGGAGCAGGGCCGCACTGGTCTTGGTTTGCGCACTGCAGGATGATTGCAGGAAAATAAATACACATAAACATGAATTAAATAGATTATATTTTTAAATAAAATAAAAAAAAGCATATAAATAAAAAACCTGATGTATTTGGTTATCTTTTGAACATTTTTACATTCTCTTGTCTCATCTTTAGTTTTTAGTTTTTAATATAATGCAGCAAAAAAAAAAAAAAACATTAAGGTGTACACTGCCTTCTACTGGAGGATAATGGTACCTTTGCTTTTCCTGGCAGGCTTGGAAGGGTTCTTTTGAGGGATCTCATCCAAAGAGGACGTCTCCTCGTCAAGGGAAACATCCATGCAGCCGTTTGAGAGCTGCTCTGGACGCAGGGAAATGTAGGTCAGGTCTGATTCCAGCATATTCCCGTATGTGTGAACTACAGAAGGGTAGAGGTCAAGTATGAGTATGTGTTTATAATACTGTTTGCTTAAACGCAGGCAAAACTGAAATGAGAAATGGTATCAGTATGTGCTAACTGACTGAAATATACTGTGTTTTTTAAGTAGTCTCCCCACAAACATTTCTAAAAAGAAAAAAATAACAGCACCATGTAAACAGACAGTGAGTCATCACATACTCATGCGTTTCTCATCCAGGATATTATTGGGAGATTCCATGTTCAGTAGGGCCTCAGCCGCCTCGATGGTCTCCATATTGTCCTCTCCACCTGAGACCTGGGTCTCTACTATGGACAGAATATATATTATTCAAGTGACAAACACTAAGATTTCACCATCGTGGTTTTCATTTTAAATGTGCTTGGCAGTAGTTTTCTGGGATATTTAAATAACAAATAGATAAAGTGATTTGTGAAGCTGTCCATTACGGTTTTGTATATATATATATATATATATATACAATACTTGTATGTAGGATGCATTAAATTGACCAAAAGTGATAGTAAAGACATCTATTATGTTACAAAAGAATTCTATTTCAGATAAATGCTGTTTTTCTGAACTTTCTCCAAAGAATCCTGCCAAAAAATATATCATGGATTCCACAAAAATTATTCCACGAAAATGATTTCTGAAAAATCGTGTGACACCGAAGACAAAATTCAGCTTTGCCATTGCATGGAAAAATTGCATTGAAAGAAAGAAAGATATTACTGTTTTTACTGTATATGTATAAATATAACCTTGATGAGCAGAAGAGACTTAAAATCTTACCAACCTCAATCTTTTTAACAGTGCATATACTGCATATAAACAGTGTTATGGATTGTTTCAGGTGCAAAGAGTACTTTTTTCCCCATTTTCATGAGAAAGGTTTTCAAAAAAACATCATGCTGCTTATAATTGTGGTCACTTATTGGACTCACCAGAAAGCCCCACATCTCCCATCATGTTCTCTTCCACCACATCCTGAATGGCGTCCACTATGATGCCATTAGTCACCTCATCTGCCTCCAGTCCAGAGTACACCTGCATGAGGTCGGCAGCGGGCACCTGTTCCACAATCACTGCTGGGAAAACTGAAGGGTCGTCCAGCTGTGGGGGAACAAACAGAGAGATAAATGTGCCATTGATCTAAAATCAACCGTCGTCTGATGCTTTCAGCGGAAAGGCAGTAAAGTACACCATAATTGCTTTAAAACACATAAATTTGCCCCTTCCCTGCAGATGAAAGCTTCTAATCCACAATCGTCCAGGTTACTTATAGTCACAGAGGCTGCAGCTAATGGCCCATTCATAATGGCTTTAACCTGAGCCAGTTCAGTCACTTGGTTGGACTCTTACTATGCGTCAGAATAACAATAAGGCCAGAGACTAGCCTGTGCGGTATCATGTGAGTAAATGACGTGAACGCAAACACACCACAGTTCCAGTAAGGTTCTTATACACATGACCCTGTTTGCTCCTAGGGTCATGAGCTTCATGCCAAAAACACCATTTCAGACTTCCTTATTTCCACCAGCATTCCTAAGCAAGGGTGGAGATCACATGGGGGGAAAGAGGAAATAGTTGGTACTGGACTATAAAGCCACAACCGTTCCTCATCCCCCACCACAGTCAATACAGCCAAAATATACCAAAATACGTCTTTCTTCCACTCTTTATGTTTTCCTACTCTTATAGAGAGTCTAGACGAATCGGGATTATTAGTAAGAGCAATTTGAAGGAAAAAAAAACACAATCCATTTCCAGGGAAAACTGGTGTTGAAGATAGCATCACTAAATGAGTGACGCTCTGTCTGTCTGTCTGTCTGTCTGTCTGTCTGTGTCTGTGTGTGTGTGTGTGTGTGTGTGTGTGTGTGTGTCCAACTGAATCTCATTAACTGGATAGCAGCTCTCATTATGCCTTTGGCAGACGATATGTGCAAACAAGGCAAAACGTCAGAATATGAGTGAACAGAGTTTGACAGAGCGGGAATAATTCAAGAGAAACTGCAGTCTGATCGAAGTCTAGTGACCTTTATTCTGACACTTGTTAGAGTACCGTTTAAATTATGCAACTGTTCATTGTGAGCTTGACAAGTGACTGCCTTTCCTCGGGGACTACATTTCATGATTTATTCTGCCATTTTTAAAATTACTGAGAAGACGTGTTCACGCATGCGTCTGTTGTGTTGTGTAACCACTAGATGGTAGCAGATTGCAGTTTATCACCTTTCCAGTTTTGCAATCGTGAACAAAACAAGAACAATATGAAAAGCACGTTCGGGGCCAAAGAAAATAATCTCACATAAGCGCCAAAAAAAAATATATATTAATAATAATAATACTTAACAATAACTGGTCAGTGTAATACAGTACTTCAGGAATGCTTGAAATACTGTCTCCTTGCAAACAAGATTGTGAAACACGTAAGCTATCTTACATCTTCCTTTGGCAGGATTTTCTGTTTTTGTTCCATCATCCTTGGACTATTTGCTGTTGTTATGGCATTTTCCCCAGAGAGGTTTGGATTTTCAAATCTCAGTTCAAGGCCAGAATAATTAATTCAGTACAGTTTAACACAAACTCTAAACTACTTGAAACAGATTCAATGGCGACACTTGAATTTAGCTACTGTTTAATTTGGACATAAACTACCGTTGAACATTTAGGTCTGTAAGATTTTTTTAAATGTTTTTGAAAGGAGTCTCGTTCATCAATGCTGCATTTATTTGATAAAATACAATAGAACAGTAATGTTGCAAAATATTGTTACAATTTAAAATAACTGTTTTCTGTTTACTGGCCATCTGCAAGATAGTTTATAAAATGTAATTTATTCCTGTGATGGCAAATCTGAACTTTCATCAGTCATTACTCCAGTCTTCAGTGTCACATGATCCTTCAGAAATCATTCTAATATGCTGATTTGCTGCTCAAGAAACATTTAATATCATCAATGTTGATAACAGTTGTGCATTCATTGTGCAACATTGTTGTGCAACATTTTTGTAGAAATTCTGATACTTTTTTTCAGGATTCTTTGATAAATAGGACGTTCAAAAGAACAGCATTTATTTGAAATAGAAATCTTTTGTAACATTATAAATGTACTGTTGATCAATTTAATGTATCCTTACGCAATAAAAGTATTAATTTCTTTCAAATAAATAAATAAATCTTACTGACCCCAAACTTTTAAATGGTTGTGTACACCAAATAAACTTTTGATTTTAGCATGTCGTTTATCAGTTTACTTGGAGAAGAGTTTTAACTAGGCTAGACATACACTCTGTGTATCCCACAAGCCCTGACTGCTTATTAAGCAGGAAACTTAGTCTTGCTCTGCATTTGTCCACGTCCTCCCTCTCATCCTGCTTTACTGGGGAACTACAGACGTCAGATATCAGGATTATGCAAAAAAACGTTGGTGATCGGTTTACATAGCCTCTCTTATACTGCCTGACAAGTAAATGCAAAATAGCAGAACATGCCTATATGAGTCTATACAACGTTGAAATTCAGAAGTTATTGCATAAAATCCATGCTATTTGTCAACAGACCAATTTATGCATTTATAAGCATGGCATAAAATCAGCTAAATAGCTCTGCCCTAATAAATGTAAGATTCCAGTGTTAATACAGCTCTTCATATGCCAATATCTCAATCTTGCACATTAGTAAAAAGAGTAAAACTTTTCTGTTTTTAAAACCCAAAGACTGCCATAAAGCTGTAACATCCTTTTTTTCACAATAAATCAACCACATTTCTAAAAGGGAAACATCAGATAAAGATCAGTCATTTGCATAGTTGAGTTCCGTGTTCCTAAGCCCGATAGCATGCGGTGTGTTCCACAGTTACACTCTCTTCTGCTTTACCTGATGCCAGACGTGATGCTAACCCACTGATGCAATACAAGACCCTCCCTTGCAATGTTGGAGACAAGCTTTTGGATGATTCTCAAACACTGTGTACTAAGCAGGCGTCATGCAACAGGTTTTCAGCAATAAGTAATTAATTTGTTGACCACTAAAGCTGCACAATGTCACGCCAATGCAGCCATAGGACATGTATGATGTGGAGAGAGGAGAAAAGAGAAGTTATGCAAGCCTGGCTTACATAAAAAGTGATTTAATATACTGTGGATGCATTAATACAGTCTGATAACATGCATGTAAAAATGCTTTAATACAAAAAAAAAAAAAAAAGCATTTGTTGCATAAACGTGGGCACACAAAGAAACACTGGCAGCCAAACTTCATGTAAGTGGATTGAAGAAATTTTAAGATCAATGTCTGACATACACTGCCATTCAAAATTAGCTCACCATTTGCTCACCAAGGCTGCAGTTATTTGATAAAAATGCAGTAAAAACAGTAATATGCTGATTTGGTGTTCAATAAACTTTTCTTAATTATAATCAATATTGAAAACAGTTGTGTTGTTTATACTTTTTGTGGAAACCATGATTAATATTTTTCAGGATTCGTTTGAATAGAAAGGTCAAAAGAACTGTATTCATTTGAAATAGAAATCTTTTGTAAGATTATAAATGTATTTACTGTCTATGATCAATTGAATGAGTCCTTGCTGAATAAAAGTTGTGCTTGTTTATATAGTAGCGGTGAGATGTTTGATTAATTATAGTTAATAAAAGCTCTACGTTGTTATACACAAATTGACTTAAGTAGGAGTTGTCTCTGTTTACTAATCTAATTATGCCAACTGATATGATTCCTGTGGTTGGTATCTCTCACCCAATATATTGTTATGCTTTAAATTAATTTCAGAAAGTAGTAATCATGTAATTTAACTTTAAAATACTATGGTGATCAGTTGTAGCATCCTGTATTTGATGTAATCACTAGTGGAATTAAAGGTTTATTAAAAAATTTAAACACTACCATCAAATTACAGTCTCATTCCACTATTTTGTACTGAAAAATTAGAGCATTACTAAAAATACAAGTATCGGTATTAGTGAGAACCAAAACTAGGTGTCAATACTTGCACTCAGTCTCTAAAATATTACCTGTGCATCCCTATTTTATACAACCCTACAACTAATTTAACTTAGATGCACAATAATATGCAGATCAAAAATCAGCCCATTCTGAAAACCTGACTATGCTAAAAAAAAACTGTTTATACGAGAAATTATTTTGTTTTGACATCAACAGTAATTCACATGAGGCATGTGCATATGCCACTAGAATGTTGGTAAAGGTGTTTACATGCAAAGTGAAACTGGGGTAATGGGTAAAAATCTAGCTGTGCAAGTTTTTGTTTTTTGTTTTTTGCTTAAAAAGTTCTTAAGCAAAAAATCTTTGTTTTAGATTTTTTCTTTTTTGCTTAAAAAGTTCTTAAAGGGGTCATATGATGCGATTTCATTTTTTCCTTTCTCTTTGGAGTGTTTCTTTAGCAGGTTGTAACACGTTATGTTGTATAAGGTTAATGAGATAATCAGTTTAAGATTGTGGATATAAATGCATTCAGCAACTCCGGAAATCTGGATCTAGTACTTCTGCTTCTGCTGTGTGCAGTAGCTGAACTCTGACACGGTGGCTTAATATCATTTCCCTCCCATTACAAGTCGACTTGACTTATGGGGATAATTATTGACTCTAGGTCCAGCACGGCTAATCATTACAGTCCACACAAGCAGCTGGACACATTTCACAGCACCCATGTGTGGAAAACCCTGAACACACAGTGAGAAGCGTCAAGGTTTGTTTTGCACAGTCCCCGAAAAAGCAGCTCTATTGTTTTACGTGGGAGTCAAAAGATATCTGAGACTGTGGGGCGACTAGTAGAGCTTATTTATGATGGTGTGGTAATAGAGTGAGGGGGTTTAGGGAGTGACTTAGAAGCCAGTGTCGTTTCAAAACAATAGTAGACTTCTGGGTGAAACAGGACTTGCACGCTGCAACAAGTTGAGCAGGTTAGGCCTGAATCTAGCTTTCAGTTCTCTTTCAGTCTGTAAGAGAAGAGGCATGGGGTTCGATAGAAGACCTGTCACACTTGATCCATTCACCTGACTGCACAAACACACACTTAAGATGAAGATCAGGATTCTGGAGTCATCTAAACTCAGAATATACACCGATCAAGCCAAAACACAGCATGACAGCATGCTTGCATACGCACGTACTATACAGTGGCCTAGAAAGTATTTGAATATTTTTGCCACAATTAAATATGTATGAAAGTATTTGCATGGCCTAACAAATAAAATAAATAAATATATTAAATAAATAAAAAAAACATTTTTAAACTTGGGTTTCAAAATGTGAAATGATAAATACACTAACGTTCAAAAGTTTGGGAACAGTAATATTTATTTTTAAATAAATTAATACTTTTATTCAGCAAGGACACATTAAATCAAACATGTTTAATGTCACAAAATATTTCGATTTCAAATAAATCCAGTTCTTCTGAATTTTCTAAAAATTAAGAAAAAACGGAAGGAAACCAGTTTCCATAAAAAAAACACTGCAAATGCTTTCAGCATTGTTAACAATAAGAAATGTTTCTTGAGCACCAAATCAGCAAATTAGAATGATTTCTGAAGGATCATGTGACGAATAGAGCAAGCTTTGCATCACAGGAATAAATTACATTTTAAAATATATTCAAATATGAAAAGAGCTATTTTAAATTGTAATAACATTTCATAAACACACTGATTTTTTTAATCAAATAAATGCAGCCTTGGTGAGTATAAGATACTTTTTTCAAAAAAGAAACTTTTGAATTGTAGTGTATATTGTTCAAAAACTTTGGCTATTTTCTGGTCGTTTTAAGCTTTGCGGAACATGTTTACTTTGTGACCTTGAAAAGAACTGACATGACTTAAAACACAACTTGACTTGAAACAGTGACCTCTGGACCAGTTGGTAAAAAATAGCTCAGAAAAGTGAAGTTCTGTGTGAAGCTCCAGCAGCATTTGTTTGCAAATACCACTTTATCTGATATATTGTATCTAATGCAATCAAATTCAGACGTCGTAAGTGTTCAGATACTTTCTGGGGCTACTGTATGTAACATAACTAGGCATCCTGAGGCTCAAATGCTACCTTTATTCCCAACCAGGTTTTCGTAAAAGAATACAAACACACTGAGTTCAGACTGACTGGCTATTCCTACATCTCAGTCTTTCCATCTGCGCACTGCCAGCAACCCACACAGTCATCTCTCAATCCTCTCCTTGCACTCTTAATTTTCCACCTTCATCCCTCCCTTGCCTTCATGCCCGGGATCAAAGGCGCAGACCTCCAAAAACCCAAATCCCCTCCTTGAGACCTGGCCTGTGAAGCTGGATGGACAAAGACAGTTCCTAAACATAAAGAAACTACAAGTTGACGTGCCTAATAACAAAGATTTCTAGCACCAAAACCAGGGTTTTCAGGTCAACGATGAAGAGCGGTTTTGTTGAAAACAACAAACGTGACTGTGATGTACCTGATTGATTTCATCCATCCCATTACTGGCGAACTCAAAGACAAGCTCGCTGGACTGGACCGCAGTGGTCATGGTGTTGTAGGGAGAGAAAGGGTAGGACACAGGCTGACAGGCAGAGGGTTCCTACCCCTCCACGCACTCCCCGGACCGCTTCGCTCCACACCACACCCCTCGGCACAGGAAGCACTCTGAGGCAGGAACACTGCTTTCACAAAATCAGAGGCACTGTTAGGTAAAAACAGAGTTCTCTTTTTTGGTCCTGCACGCTTCTGATTTTTTTCCTCCAGATGACAGTAGAGTGGCGGAGGACTGCGTGATGGAGGAGGATTCTTCTCACTACAACTGCGTCTGGGGCATCTAAACCTTCAAGAGAGAAACAGAGGAAAAGGAACATTAGGAAACTGCGACTGAGCAAAATGGGCTGTGTCACATCATCAGAGCGAGAGAGGGCTGGGATGGCCGGACGAGCCTGAGACGGTACCGTTGGGACTGAGACGAGGGGCTAATTTTCTGACTCTATGAAGCATTTGCTCACTGCTGGAGAGACTTTCGACTCACCGATCTCATTTTTGGCTTCGAACCACACAAAGCTGCCCCAAAGTCAGACTCTGAGAAAGTCTGGCCAGGCAAAATGAAAATGGAAATGGGCGAGTGGAAAATAAACTCCACTTTCCAGCAAATTCATCATGTATATGTATATGCATACACTTAATTTCGCAATGAATACAATTTTTCACACTGTACATTGTAATGTTGTCTAAATTCACATTTAAAACCATTAATTTGAGTTTTTAATGTTTTTTTCAGCTTATATGTATAAGACAGAATTTACATATTGCATTCACACTATTCTTTTTGCGGATAATCAACATAAATCAACAAAAGCTGGAAAGTGGAGTTTATTTTCCACCCATTTTCATTCTGACACTTGGTCTACAGGGTTCAGATGTAATATAAGTGAACCTCTTCAGTGGCAGTGTGGAGGAAGGGGGAGGGGCATGGATTGCCACAGGATATGAGATCAGCCAGCCTGATCAAAGGGGTACTGTAAACAAGGTTGGGTTATCAGTCACATGAGTGAAAAAAGGCCCAGAACACACCCTCATCCAAAGTCCACATCCACTCCGCACACTAAAGCCAGCTAAACTACAGAAACTCAAAAACACAAGAATCACAGGCCGTTGAGAGTAAAGAGTACCCTCTGTCCGGCCCTGAGGCGGCAAGGAGGAACAGGAGGGAGGGGCTGCAGTCTGGTTAAAGATTAAACGAGAGCAGTGGGAAGAGGAGAGGTGGTTTGGCTGAACCACTGAAGGGGGGTGTAAAATGGCAGCAGAGCAGCCCATGTCTCCTCTGTGGCAGGGTGGGGCTTGTTTGCTTTGAAAGGACAGTGTGTGTGTCAACAAGTGCATACCAGGTTGAACGGTGTCTGGGGGGGTTGGGGTGCTGGAGGGGGTGGGGGAAGGGGATACAGTGGTCATGGTGTTGTAGGGAGAGAAAGGGTAGGACACAGGCTGACAGGCAGAGGGTTCCTACCCCTCCACGCACTCCCCGGACCGCTTCGCTCCACACCACACCCCTCGGCACAGGAAGCACTCTGAGGCAGGAACACTGCTTTCACAAAATCAGAGGCACTGTTAGGTAAAAACAGAGTTCTCTTTTTTGGTCCTGCACGCTTCTGATTTTTTTCCTCCAGATGACAGTAGAGTGGCGGAGGACTGCGTGATGGAGGAGGATTCTTCTCACTACAACTGCGTCTGGGGCATCTAAACCTTCAAGAGAGAAACAGAGGAAAAGGAACATTAGGAAACTGCGACTGAGCAAAATGGGCTGTGTCACATCATCAGAGCGAGAGAGGGCTGGGATGGCCGGACGAGCCTGAGACGGTACCGTTGGGACTGAGACGAGGGGCTAATTTTCTGACTCTATGAAGCATTTGCTCACTGCTGGAGAGACTTTCGACTCACCGATCTCATTTTTGGCTTCGAACCACACAAAGCTGCCCCAAAGTCAGACTCTGAGAAAGTCTGGCCAGGCAAAATGAAAATGGAAATGGGCGAGTGGAAAATAAACTCCACTTTCCAGCAAATTCATCACTGGCCACTTAACTTTGTCTCACTTTGACTCCTGTTTACCCTCTGGGATCACTGTTGTAAAGAACTGTTCCATTACTCTGTCACTCTGTATTCAATAAGGATGCACAATATATCAGTGTCATATCAGTTATCATTCAATTATTTAAAAAAATTAATATATTTTAAATATAATTTTTAAATATTTAAAATATATTCGGGGCTTGTTTGCTTTGAAAGGACAGTGTGTGTGTCAACAAGTGCATACCAGGTTGAACGGTGTCTGGGGGGTTTGGGTTGCTGGAGTGGGTGGGTAAAGGGTATAATGGGGGCAGATAGAGAGAATAGGAAAGATAGGCCCATGTGGGTGGCAGGGAGGTCAAACAAATGTTCTGTTTAGCTCGGACTGTGCCCAAGACCCCTGTAGCAGCTGGAGTCCCATAGTCAACATGGGGCCTCGTATGGCCTTGTCTCTCCGGGAGAGCAAGGAACAGGATGAGGTATGCCATGACAGAGAAACCCAGCCTATTATTACCACTAACCAGACGGCCCCCCCAAGAGCCCTTCGGCCCTGCCTCCCTTCCCACAGCATGGGGTCAACATCTGGAGCACCCTGCTGAAGGTTCCCTCTCCCTGGCTTTGGTCAAGACAAGCTCTTTGAACCAATTATTTATTTTCTTGCCATCACAATGCTCTGGGAGTTGCTACGTGGTTGCTAGGGTGTTCTGAGTGGTTACATCAAATCAAAAGAATTTGATCAAGACTTCTAGGTAGGGTATATTAAAAGAGATATTAAAATTCTATCCAAAACCAATAAACCAACAATTACTGTATAGCTTTATGTTATGACAGATAACCAAGAAATGGCTCATATTATAATTCTAAATTATTTTGTCTAAAGATTTTAAAAAAGAAAATGTTATAATTTACATTATAATGTACAGTATAAAATATGGATAATCATTTTGAGATTTGCTAAAGATTACATTTAACAGTGTTATGTTAAATAAAAACAGATGAAATGAGCCTGTAAAATTAAATATCCAATATCGGCCCATACATATGTAATATAGACTACAGTTCAAAAGTTTGGAGCCAATTAGATTTTTTGTGATTTTGAAAGAAGTCTCTACAGTAAAAATAGTTACAAATAGTAATAATATTTCACAATATTATTGTTTTAATATATTTTAATATATAATTTATTATAATTTATTATTTATATAATTTTCAACGGTCATTACTTCAATCTTCCGTGTCACATGTCATGATTTTTCAGAAATCAATCTAGTATTTTTATTTGATGCTCAACCAACATTTCTTCTTATTATAAATGACGAATACAGTTGTGCTTAATATTTTTGTGGAAACTGTGATAATTCTTTAATGAATAGAAAGATCAAAAGAACATTATTTATTTGAAATAGAAATCTTCTGTAATGTTATAAATGTTTTTACCATCAATTTTGATCAGTTTAATGCAAAAAATATATCTATCTAATCAGCTGATGCATCATATATGCCTATTTTCGTTTTTTTTTTTTTTTTTCACACAGAGAGATGAGGCTGGTGGGGAGCAAAATCGTGCAAATCTGTGATTGCGTGCATCACGCCGCTTCTCCACGCTGATTCCCAGTGGTATATAACGAGACCTCGTGCCAGGCACACAGCAAGTGATCTGCGCCACCGTGACTGCAGCCTGGGAATGATACAAGTGGATGCGACAACACTTGCCTTGTCCCAAAACACGCACATGCAAATGGGCCAAAACAAGGGCCTGCCGCACGTCATCCAGAGAAGCCGAGAGGGAGGGAGAGTTACTCAGTACTCAAGACTTCAGTAAGCAAACACTCTCCAGGGTGGGGCTCGCATGGAATCACTCCATGGCTGAGGTCTGCCAAGGATACACGCTCAGCAAGCAAGGTAAAACTATGAAATGTACATGAAAAACGCCCGCCCAAGTCTCTAACTGTCCTAATGCAGCAGCTGGTACGGGTCTGGCAAAGCGCCTAGTCTGTGTTGTCAAAACAAGTAAATATATAGCAAGACGCTGACTAAAATGTTGGATGGAATAACCAGTTTTGAGGGGAGAATGATTTCGAATGAATACATCTTACCCTGTTGACCCCGTCGACCCACCCGCCCCTGTAGAGTCCTCAACTGAGCTCAGTGTTGACCATGAAAGGAGGTAATTTAAGCCAACCAAATGACTAAGCCATGAGTCACCCTGACAATGGAATTTAATCACGGGGCAAGCAAATTCAAACATGAATGATCATCTAACGTAGGTGAGTGGTTTGAGGGGAAGGATCATGGATTCAAGATGTGGTATGCTCGTGAGTTGTCATATTCTGATGGCGTCACAGGGATTGATGGAGATGGAGGTTTTGGAGAGGGCGAAGTCGTCTCTAGTTACTCTGTGGGGAGTGATGTCATGGCAATAGTGATGTCAACGCATGTGAGAAAAACTAGTCTTGAGTGCCTCTCAAAATAGCTTAGGATACTAGGGCTTTCAGAGAGACACTGACTAAGAGAAAGCAAGAGGAATGTGAAGCTCTTTTCCTGCTTGGTCAGGAAGGAGGACTGGCATTCCTGGCATTTCAGAACATGCCAGTCTCGAGTGTTTCAGCGAAAACACAGTCCACAACGCTGGCTCCACTATAAAAATGTGACAGTAAAACTCCTCCAGTGAGCTAGTGAACATTTATGTGTCTTGTGAGACATCTTAAGGCTTTGGTAAGGTCCCCACTTACCAAAGGGAAGAGAAACACTGAGGGTGGAATTATGCCAACAGCACCCTTTCAATCAATATGATGGACAAAGCCTCTTTTAACAGGGTCATCTGCTTGACTCAGCAGAACATGGGTGTTTTTAGCTTAGTTCCTGTGAGTGTGAGGATATGATGCTTCAACTCAAGTAAAGTCCTGTAATGCTGTGATAATGGGACAAACTCTCTATGGTCACAGTCATTTAACAGCCCTGACAGAAGCTACTATCCTGCTGCTGCTTTATGTCCAAGTGATACAAATAAAAAAAAATACAATTTTGACTAATATGCTAACACTATATTAATATATTAATAATAATATACACTACCATTCAATACCATTTATCGTTTTTGTCATATATATTCACCAAGGCTGCATATGTTTGATCAAATAAAGTCAAGACAGTAACATTGTGAAATGTTATAACTGAAAATAACTGATTCATAATTTAATATATTTTAAAAATAAATTTATTCATGTGATGGCAAAGTCAAATTTTCAGCAGCCATTACTCCAGTCTTCAGTTTCACATGATCATTTAGAAATCATTCTAATACGCTAATTTAGTGCTCAAAAAACATTTATTATTTGAACAATAGAGTAAATATTAAATTGGCAACGTAAAAGCAATGCTACGTATGATTATGAAACCATTTAAGAGCAGTGATTTTCACTTTTTTGTATTAATATAGTTTTTCTTTTGACAAATTTTCCAATTTATTGTCCCATATATCGATATTCAAATTAGACGTAACCGACTATGTACACATTTATACTACACCAAGGTGGCCATTTTTACCCAAAAGCACATCTGTCTGTTCATATACGCATCTGCATTACCGCAAATGTTCTTTACTAAGCGTGTGTGCAATTATGACAGAGCATCCGAATATGCACACCCGAAACCAGCCACTTGTCAGTAAAAAAGGCGAAGGTACCAAAACGAGTACTGCAGAAAGACTACAGCGTACATTTCTTTTAAAATATCGGCACTGGTATTTGACATTCTTACAGTGCTCAAAAAAGCCTATCTTTTCTTTCTCTTCCTCTTAAAGTGATGTGAAAGTATCACCATCACACACCCCTTTGTTGGTCACAGAAGTGGAGAAGAGTGCATTATACATTAGGGAGAAAGGTCAAGGGCCTGTGAGGTAAATGTTTGCTAATTCAACAGAACAATAGAGACTGCAATTAATGAGACTAGCATACAAGCAACTCCCACTGCCACATCAGTCTACAACAACACCACATAGCAACTTTTGCTACAATAGTCGACAATTCACAGTGTGCATTCTAATACAGATCCCAAAAATTTTTTGAGGATAGAAGCATAAGCCAGGTAAGATTTTAAAAAGGCCATTATAAAAACTAGAGCAACCTTTGTGAAGGAAGGGGGATGAAGGCAAAAGAAAAAAGAAAGGAAAAGAGAGACAAACACGTTGCTTCGAGAACTGCTAAAACTGAGACAGAAGAAAGGCTTTACCTTCTGCTACCTTTGCAGATGAAGCAAATTTAGTCTCATCTCGCAAGTCTTGTACTTTTCCACTCCGCCTCGAGGCGCTAGAAAAAGTCTAGGGGCCCACACCCACCTGAGACAGGACCTGTTATCATTGAGCATGGAGCTCAGCGCTCCAAACATTGGAGGAGGCTATGGAGGAGAGACTGAGGCCAGGTGAAGGCAAAATCCCTGCCACTAAACTCATTAGGGTCTAAAGACGCTTGTTTAAAACCAGTTGTGTTCATCTTTGCCAGATGGAAACTTGTTTGAGGAGATGACAAAGAGCATCCACCCTTATGGAAATGTGATTAATGGTTTTCCAAACAATTTTAAGATGATTTAAATTGAATGCTGAAATGTCAAACAACCACAGTTGTTCAGTTTAGCTGGTGCTACAAGTTAGGATGTTTTATTGCCTAAAATTATACAACTTA